TTGCTTGTTTTGTTTTGTTCCTTTTTTCTTGCCTTCTTTTGGATTATTTCAATGTTTTTTTCAGAATTTATCTGTTGATATTTTTGCTAACTCTCTTTTCTCTAATATTTTAGTGGTTACTCTAGGCATTACAATATACATCAGTAACTGTTCACAACCACTTAGGTTGTGAACACTTAGGGATAATATTTTACCCTTTCTTGTAAAATGTAGAAATCTTGCAATGATATGGGTTCATTTGCCCTTTCTCCCACTGTTGTAATTGTTATATGTATTGTGACTACACATTATAAACCCTAATACATTGCTATTATTTTTGCTTTAACAATCATATGTACTTTAAAGAAATTTAGACAAACTAGACTCTTTTGTGCTTCTTCATACACATTCTATTTCTCATATCCTTCATTTATTCCTGAAGGTCTGAATTTCTCTTTGGTGTCATTTCTCTTTAGCCTGAAGAATTTTTATCAAGCTTTTTGTGTAATGTAGGACAGTTGGTAAAAAATTTTCTTAGGTTTTCTTATCTGAAAGTAATGTTTTTATTTCACCTTCATTTTTGAAAGATAGAGCTCTAAGTTGACAGTTTTTTTCTCTCAGTATTTACTATTTCTGGTTCCCATAGTTTCTGATGAAAAATCTGTGTGGCTGGGCTTGGTGGCTCAGCTTGTAATCCCAGCATTTTGGGAGGCCGAGACGAGTGGATTGCCTGAGCCCATGGATTTGAGACCAGCCTGGGCAACTTGGCAAGACCTTGTCTCTACAATAAAAAATAAAAAATAGCCAGGCATGGTAGTGTGTCTGTAGTTCCGGCTACTCAGAAGGCTGAGGCAAAAGGATCGCTGGAGCCCAGAAGGTCAACGCTAGGGTGACTGTGAGCGAGCATGCCACTGCACTCCAGCCTGGGCGAAGGAGTGAGACTCCAACTCAAAAAATAAATAAATAAATAAAAGAAAAATCTGTGGTAATTCAGATGACTGTTCCCCTGTAACAGGTTACTTTCAAGATTTTTCTTTGGTTGTGGTTTTCAGAAGTTTGACTCTAATGTATTTCTTTTTGAACTTATTTTGTTTGGGGTTTGCTGAGCTTCTTGAATTTGTAGCTTTATATGTCTTTCACCAAATTTGGACGTTTTCAGTCATTATTTTTAAAAATATTTTTTTTCTGCTTTAGTTTTCCTCTCCTCTCTTTATGTGACTCCAGTATCCTTATGTTAGGCTTTTTAAAATTATCCCACAATTCCATGAAGCTCCATTTATTGTATTCAGTCTTTATCTATTTTTGACTGGATAATTTCTATTAATATATCTTCAAGTTTACTGACTTCTTCCTTTATTTCCAGTCTTTTCTTAAATCCATCTAGTGAATTAAATTTTTTTTCAGGTATTATACTTTTGTGTTCTAAAATTTTAGTTGAGCTCTTTTCTATATTTTCTATTGGCTTTTTACTTCTTAATTGTAAGCATGTTTTTCTTTGCCTCATTGATCATAGTTGTGATAGCTGCATTAAAGTCGTTGTCTGAAAATTTCAGCATCTGAGTTGTGTCAGAATTGGTGTCTATTTTCTTTTCCCTTAGAAATGGGTCATATTTTCCTGACTCTTTATATGCCACATAGTTTTGGATTATAAGCTGGACATTGTGAATGCTTTGTTGTGGAGATTTTTGGATTCTGTTTCATCATTCTGAAGGGTATTGAGGTTTTGTTTCTAAAGGACAATGGATTTGATCAGACCCAACTACACCCTGCTTGGCTGTGATAGGTGATGGCTTTGATCTCAGTTCAGCTTTTAAAGCATTAACTGCAAGCTTCTGTTAGTTTGTGCCATGCGTGCATGGTTCAGGGGTCTAGCAGAGACTTGAACTGAGTCTATACACAGAAGTTGGGGTTTCCCCTTTACTCTGAATCCCTTTTGCTTTCTACTTCCTCTTAGTACCCCAGAGCTTCTTAACCTGGTTTCTTCTGTCAGAAAGGTGGTCTTTCTATTGACTCGTCACTGTATCTGTGCTGCTACCACCATGACTGTGCAGCTCTCAGAACAAAGTTGCAAACAAAAATGAAAAAATTAAACAAAACACAGAGAATACAGAGAGATACTTGCCACTTGTTCTAGGTTTCATTTTGTCTCCAAAACTTGCCTGTCTCCATTCAGTTCTCTAGAGACTGCATTAGTTGTTTTGTATTATTTATCCAAAGTGTGTAGCTATTATTTTCAGCAGGATCAGTGTGTTGAGCACATGCTCCTCTATACTGGAAGTGCAGCTCTCACTGCTTTAGCTGGATACTTGCAGTGGCTTTCCTACTGTCTCCCATCTTATTTCCCTGTAGTACAACTTTCACTTTTGGACCAAGTAATTAACGTAAGTTCTAGTGCTGACCTTACTCTTAGAAGACTGGGCTTTAACTCCTTATAATGGCATATGTAGCCTTTCATAACTGACTCCTGCCCACCTGTATAATACAATAAAGATACCTTTTCTCAACCCAGTATGTTGTCATAATTTTGGAATACTTGTCCCCTGTACTTTTTCTTGCTCTCTTCCCCTTACCTAACTCCAGAAACTCCATTCCCTTTTCCCATTTTGAGTTAGATGTCCCCTCTGAGTCCCTTCTTTTTTCTTTCTTTCTTTCTTTTAAAGATGTGGGGTACAATTCAGGGTTAGGTATACAAATGTTCATTATGTAAGTACCCTTGAGTTCCTTCTTAATATTCTGCTGGTCCCCTGTAAGGGTACTTATCACATTGTTCTGTTATTTGCTGCTCAGTTGTCTGTATCCCCACAAAATTGAGTTAGTTCCTCAAGGATTGCGAATCATGCCATATATTTTAACTGCGAACTCCCTCCCTTCACCTAATTTCGTACACTGCCTGTAGATAGTAGATACACATTTAGTGGTAGATACACTACAGATACCCAATAATGTTTCTCCTGGTTGCATTAAATTTTCATGAGTATACATTTTTCATTTCTGTGCTTCTGTGAGTGTCTGATGTGCACACACAGAGTTCCCAAAAATAGAACAAAGGATTTTGGGTCACTTGGCTACTGTTCACTTGTGCCACCTGGGACATATTTTCTAACCTTGTCATTTGTGCCCCTTCACTACAGATACTAGACCCAGCAATCTGTGCACTTCTAATGACTAAAGTCTTTAGGTGGGATTGCTGGAGTTCCCAGCAAGGGCAAGGGCAGGCCTGTTCTGGCTTTCTCTTTTCTTGTGAATGGTAGAGTTCAGATATTGCCTGGGAAGGGGTGTGTGTGTGTGTGTGTGTGTGTGTGTGTGTGTGTGTGTTTAAATGTTGATGACCCTTGGCAGTAAGCCAGCACCATTCTTCTATACCTAGGATCAGGTGATAGATATAGAACCCATAGATCTGTCATGGATTATCAGCTGCTAGGGAATCTGGAACACATTCTTTTCTTTTACGCCATCTCCTAGTTATCAGAGGAGATCCACAGAACATGGATCTGCACAACAACTACTGCTTTGCTCCTGGTATCACCCCTTCAGAGCAGGAGCTACTGAGCTCTTTCTTTCAAAATAAATGAGCTTCTGTTTCCATAGAACCGTTAGACATTCATGTGTTATCTAGTGTCTTAGAATAGTGCCTCAGCTTCAGCTCCGACTTAAAAAGAAGACAGATGCTTTAGTTTTTTTCTATTTATGAAAATAACATGCTTTTGGAAAAACATTTATTTTAGATAATCTCACTCTGTCACCCAGACTGGAGTGCAGTGGCATGATCATGGCTCACTGCAGCCTTGACCTCCTGGGCTCAGGCGATCCTCCTGCCTCAGCCTCCTGAGTAGCAGGGACTACAGATGTGTGCCACCAAGCTTGGCCAATTTATTGATTTTTGTTTGTTTGTTTGTTTGTGTTCATAGAGATAGGGTTTTGCCTAGGCTGGTCTTGAACTCCTGGACTCAGGCAATCCTCCCGTCTCAGCCCCCAAAGTGCTGGGGTTACGGGCATGAGCCACTGTGCCTGACTGCATTTATATATTTATTTATTCAGTAGATATTTACCTTGTATCTCCTACATGCTGCAATTCAAGAATACAGCCAGGTGGATAAATATGATCATTGCCTCATGAAAATGTAGTTTAGTATTACAGAAAAAATACATAGAAGTACTTTTTTAAAAGCATCCAAAAATCTCAATATACAGAGATAGCCACTGTTAAACCTCTTGCTGAATTTTTTGTCTTTGGCCTTTAGATTTCAGGCACCAGCACTTCATCTGTTTTCATTTCAATATCCTCAACTCTCTTGCTTCTTTGTCCTTCATTTCTCCCACAGGACAAATTTTCAGTTCCTGAGCATCTAATCTTCAACCTATGTAATGTTTGGCTCTCGCCTGAAAAAGACCATTTAGAATGCTAATTTTAGTCCCAAGGAGCTTGTTCTACTTTATATGTGTGAGATTCTGGATTTTCCACACCTATGAAATACTAATTATTAAGTTATAGAGGTATTTCCCACTAAATTAAATTAATAGACTTACTCATTTTATAGTTTAATGAGGGGGTGTTAAAAGTTGAACTGTACCTTACTTTTAATGGCCAAAAAAAGTGATAAATATCCAAATGCCATCAATAAGAGACTAGTTAAATAAATAATGTATTCATATAGTGGAATTCTGTGAACCAATTAAAATAGTTTGTTGACATAAAAGGAAAATTAATAAACATGGAAAGATATCTACAGCAAATTGCCGACTGAAAGAAAAGATGATTATAGCATATAGTAGTTTATTTTGTTTGTTTTGATTTTTATAAAATTGGATGCACATGTAGGTACATGCACAGAAAGCTATACGAATTCAATCAATATAGTTCTTCCATACCTACTGTGTAAGAAATCCTCAATAAATACATTTTGATAGTTGTTCATGTCACGGGAGAGAGGGACAATCAGATAATTTGTGTAAATTGTATCGTACATATTTGTGGGAGAACATATTTGACTTACTAAAAGTACTTTTCCTCTCATCTCTAGAATAATGAACTGCAAAGCAGGTTGGACTACTTAATAGAAACCCAGGCCAAGACTGAAGTGGAAACCAGAGAGATTGGAGTGGGCTGTGATCTTCTACCCAGGTATTTAGGAATTTCCTGTTTTTCTTACTCAGATTCCACTTTGACTTGAGAAAAATACTTTACTGGGCTGTTCTTAGCAGAATCGCATTCTTCCTATGAAAAATGTTTCTGTGAAGCTAAGTGGTGGCTGCAGAGGGTCAGACTGGTTGGTTACAGTGGGAGCAGGGGCATCGTGCAGGGTGGAGGGGATGGTGAAGAAGAGACCAGGGAAGCCACTTCAGAGAGAGACTGGCCCTGTCAGTGAGTGCATGCATTTGTTCTTTCCTTCCTTCCTTCCTTCATTCATTCAGCACACAGCTGTTGAGTGCCTTCCCTGTGCCAGATAGTTATATGACACATGGAAGAATGAGATTTGGTTCCTAACCTAGAGTACAGTCTGAAGGGAGAGACAAATATGTATTCAGATATTTATAATAGTGTGAGAGGGGAGTGCAAACTGCTTTAGTGATGGAAGAAGGAGAGTCTAAACCTTGAACAAAATTCATCTCTTCCTCAGTACTGTGATAGGGTTTTGTCAAACACTAGATCTGGCCAGTGAATAACTGATTTGCGTAAGTCATCAGCAGATATGTGATAACTATAACTTGGTTTGCTCAGTTGCATTCCTGAGTTCGAGGACTGACCCATTCATTGTTAAGCTGCTTCCTTGCCTGTATCTCTCCCTAGTGAAATTAGGACCAATGACCCGGGATCCTGCCTGCGGTGACTCACTCACCATTTCTAGGTCCTTACAACTGTGCCTGGCCTAAAGAGGACATACAGTAGGTTTACAACAAGGATGCCAATGACATGTGATTTAGGATTTAGGTAATCTAAGTCACAAACGCTTAGTGTTCTGTGTGCAGGAGGGTGGATTCTTATGCGAGCAGGGTCATTTTTGTGTGCTATGATAGACATAGTAGTTCAGAAAAATGCCGAATCCTGGAATCTTGAATGGTAACATCTGGTGGGAAATAGCGATGAGCCAATCACTATGTTGGGATATGAGACACCTGGTTCTAGTCCCATCCGCCAGTGGCAGGATGGCTTCAGAGAAATCTTTCTTCATTGAGGCTTCAGTTTCCTGATCTGCAAAGTCAGTGGTTTGACCAGATGACTTGTTAGGTCTCTACCAGCTCTAACATTGTATAATAAGGCCTCATTTCCCTACCTTATTGATTTTTATTCACTACTGATATTGTCTTTTTTTTTTTGAGTTGGAGTCTCACTCTGTTGCCCAGACTGGAGTTCAGTGGCTGGGCTTAGACCTGCTGGGCTCCGGCGATCCTTCTGCCTCAGCCTTCCAAGTAGCCAGGCGTGTGCTACCATACCCGGCTAATTTTTGATTTATTGTAGAGATGAGGTCTCGCCAAGTTGCCCAGGCGAGTCTCGAACCCGCGGGCTCAGGCAATCCACTCACCTCAGCCTCCCAAAGCGCGGGATTATAGGCTGAGCCACTGAGCCTGGACGTCTTTTTTTTTTTTTTTTTTAATTAGAATGTACTACTTGCCATTCTCAAGTTTACCAAAAGCAGCATTAAGTTTTTTCTTTGACAGTGTCCTCATTTACATTGTTTGCTTTCTGGTAAAAAAAAATAAGACATTTTTAGCATTCTGATATAATTAACTGAAAATGTTGACCCAAAAAAAGAAAATATATAAATAGACTCCGGATCTCATCAATGTGTGGTACAAAGTATGTGATGAAAACATACCCAAAGAGAATGATCGATCATGTTCAGGGATCCCTTTTGAAATATGAATAATTTGGCCATTTCCCCCCTTTTTTATTTTTCAAAAGCTGAGTGGCTTAGTCCACTCTAATTGCCCACATAATAAATCTTGCTTGGCTAAGACGGGTACGAAAGTATGTCTGAAACTAATAAGTTGTTTGTTTTCTAATTCCCACATTTTGGCTTAAAACAAGCTTTTCAATTTGTATGCCCAAGTATCGCCCGAAGCAAACTTTTATGGCTAAGTTATGAAACCACAAAGCGGTTTTCATAATGGAAGTGCTGACAGACCCTTAACTTATGGCCATGGTGAACTTGGAAGCCACTTCAGTATCTAAAAGCAGCTTTTCCATAAATGTAACATTTGGTTTCCCCCAGGATCCATCTTAGCAGTTTAACTACCTAGGTCAATCGGCAGAGGAAATGAAAACTACATATCCGCATTTCCGAAAGGCAGAATAATATTTCATTCGTCTCCTCACAAATATTTATTAAGTGCCTACTATGTGACAGGCGCCAGGCAGGTCTGGGTGGTGAGGAGATGGGGTCTTTAGAGATAACTTGGGGTAGGAATCTCCACCTGTGCTTCTCAGAATAGCCTGACTCTGAGCTGGGGCTCCTGGAGAGGCCTCGGGATGCCCTGGGGGATGAGGAGAGTTGCTGAGGAGCTTTGTGAGACCCCCCCCTTCCTCCTCCAAAACATCCTGAGAAAGTCAGCTTTTAGTCTGTTTTGTATGTTGGGCTTCAAGTAAGATTTTGTTTGAATAAAGATCTCTGTGGTCAAAAACAAATTGGAACCTCTAATCTAGTTAATCCCCATGTTTTATAGTTCACAAAATAGAGGCCCAGAGAGACAAAGTGATTTTCCAGAGGCCACACAGCCAGGACTGGAACCAGGCCTCCTTGAGCCTTGGTGCAGTATATTTGTAGCTTGAGAATACATAATAAACAGAGGAGTTGCTAAATGGTGTTGTGTATGTTCTAACAAAATTCCTGGTTCATACTTGGATTTCAAATTTGCATCTAATCGATAAAAGATCCCATAGTACTTTCCAGAATATTTTTTAAATAGCTTCCTCCAGAATATTTTAGGTCAACGAAAGTATTGAATTAAGCCTTAATTATGCAGAATTGTTTTGTTATTACTCCCTGTTCTTCCACAAAGACCTCATCTGTGTGGTCCAGCCAAGGAGTCTCAGGCTGCCTGGGTTCCCTGCCCAGCCAATTGCTAGCTGAGCACAGTCTTGGGCAAGTGACTTCATCTCCCTAAAGCCTCAACTGTCTCATCTTTAAAGTGGGAGTGCAAATGATATCAAATCTCATCAGGTTGCTATGAGGATTAAGTGAAAACATTTATATAAGGTATTTAGCATGATAACTTGACCCAATTTAGGCACTTAATAAATAGTAGCTAAATTAATTTGGCTATCAACTAAACCCAAACTCTGATTTTACATGTAAAGCACAGTATCAAATATACATGAATTTGCATATGCTAAGACATTTAAATTAACTTAGTTTTTTTTTTTTGGTGGTAATTATTGATTTTGCAAAATGGATTGGTAGCCTGCTTAAGTGTATAGTGTTTCAGTATGTGTCAGGCTCTTCAGTTAAACAGTCAGCAGTTTGAAACCCTCTAGACACTGCATAAGATACTGGAAGACCCAGTGACTGATAAGGTTTCTATCAGATCTGAGACCCACGCACCGGGCACTTGCTTCTTTGTAGAGTAGTTTGGCATCTTCTACCTGCTCATCCTTATAACTGCAAGTGTTATATGCTGTACTGCTGCTGATAGCATTTTACTCACACGTAGAACTGTTCTCTCTCTGTTTTTATCTGGCTAAAAGAAATTGCATTTAGTTGATGCTCAATGAACATTTGTTGGGAGAACGAAGGAAAGGTATATGAGTGGGGAACTGAGGCAGCTGTTCTGTATTATCACGTGTTTATTTATTTAATAAAGGCCTTGGATGAATTGATTCCTGCTTGTATTTCACTTAATGTTTACTTCTCTCTCTTCTCACTGGAATGTAAGCTCCACAAAGGCAAGGATTTTTTTTTTTTTTAAATCCATTTCACTAATTGCAGTTTCCCCAGGACTTCTTTAGTACAGTGCCTGGCCCATGGTAGGGACTCAGTCAATGCTTGTTGAATGGAGTCATCTCCCCATAGCATTTTACAATCTTTCCTAAGCAGAAAGTGAGGATTCTTAAGCCTGCTTCTCACCCTTGTAGGACTTTTCTCTCCTGGTTCATTCCTGACCTCCCCGGCAAGGCCTTCTCCATCTTCTTGGATGGCCCCTCTTCTTCCTCCAAGAGCCTCATCGTGAAGTTCCCATGGTTCATGGTTCTATCTTGGCTCCAGGAGTTCTGCCAAGATTGCATCCAGTCTCACAGCTTCACCTGTCCTTTTTGTGGCTGAGTCACAAGGAAATGCAAGCCCTTCTCTTGAATTTATGTCCTCATTCCCACAGCCTGCTGGGCACTCCCAGCCGGTGTCTGCTTGATGTTCACACTCACCATTGCATAGTTGAGTGCATCTTTTTCTTCAGTCAATCCTCTTAGGAATGGTTAAGAATACTGACTTGGAAGTTAGACCTGGGTTTGGGTCCTGTGTCTGCCTCCTGCTACATCTGTAGCTTTGGCAAATTCATGACCTCTCTGAGTCTCAGTTTCCTCACCTTGAAAAAAGGAGATGGTGGTGGTAATCTCCTCAGAAGCTTGCTAAGAAGGATTACTGAGATAACAGACAGAGTGCCCAGCGTCAGTACCACAATTTCATATTTCTGTTGATTCCCAGAGGCCTAAGTTCAATGTACTGTAGTTGCTTCTGTGCCATGAAATTATTTTGCTCCCAGACTCCCTCACTCGTGACTTGCCTCATATCTCCCCATTCCTCTTGCCGCCAGCCTGCCTGAGGCTGGTCTTGCCGTATGTCAAGTCTATTCAGTATTGTCTCTCTGCCTCTGGTTCCTCCTCAAATTCTTCTCCTCCTTAATTTAATCTTCAGATTTTCTAATGAGCAAGGACCTCACCATAGAGTAAGAAGCGAGGGAAAAGGTGAGGGGACCTCATTGTGAGGGCCTTTTGCATACCTTCTTTAAAAAAAAAAGACTCAGGATGCTTTGAAATGTTTGAAATATGTTAATTAAAGCTATTGAGAACAAGTTCAGGTCATCTAGCCTTCATTTACAAAGAAAAGTGAAAAATAAAAATCCAAAAGAAAAGAGACTTTTCTTTCTCCTGCCCATTAGTGAAACTTAGTTTCCAGCAAAGTCATAAATTATGGCTTAATAGGTACAAGTTGATGAAAAATATTCCCCATGGTCATAAGTGTCCAGCGCGTAGTATGTGCTTTAAAAATGCTTGCATTTGTATATTTCTGTTACAAAGACCAGAACACAAATTAGTTTTTGTCAAAGCTTCATTTGCTGATTCTGTTGTTGCTTCCCTCAGGGGAACTGCCCTTTTATGGATTAATGAAAGGTTAGCAATAGCTTAAATGTGTGAAAGAATATGGTTAAGTTCCAGTTTTGTGGTTGAGATTATTTGTGTTCTGAAAATCCTGTTGTTTCCTAGTGATCAACTAAATAAAATACCCTACTTTTTTTTTGAAAGTTTGGGACATGAGAGCCTGTTTTTGAAACCCAGAAGGTTCACCTTTATAAATATTTTTGTATTTTATGGGCTTTTAGGATATTGTCACCAGAGACCATTTCTGTTATGTGGAATTTTCACAGGAGTTGGCACAAATCACCATCTGGCGTCTGCCTCTGGCACTCACTAAACTTCCTGGTCAGATCGCTGGGGAATCCTGAATTGCCAGGTCTCATGGATTGCTCCCTGTGGCAGGTGACACTGTGGCCACTCACTCATTGAAATTCCCTCAATCTATGGTTTTCTTCTTCATCCATATATGGAGTAATAGCTCCGTGCCAAGCCTGTGTGAGCTGCTGGGGTCATACGGATGATGAAGATGTGGTTTTCTCACCCTTGAATAAATTATACCGAGCAGTGGAGACAATAGGTACAATAAGATGCTTCCAATGTGTCAGAAGCCTGTATAAAAATGATTTTCAAGGCATATATAAGATAGGGGGAGGGGAGCATGGAGAAGACATATTGACTTTCTTGGGGGAGATAGGGAAAGTTTAAAATACTCTACCAACCTACCCACACACTATTTTAATGCACCCTGTACCACTTAGTGAATTACCGGACATGAGAGGTTATGGGAAAGGGAGTTGACTCTTATGTTTTATATATGCATTTTGTCATTGCATTAGTTAGGATAAGGAATGCAGCTGCTATATGAAACAACCCACAAACCTCAGTGGCTCAACACAATAACAATTAATTTCTCACATCACAGTCCAAGACAGGTTGGTATGGGCTTTGTTCCATATAGTCATTCAAGAACCCAGGATTCTTCCATCTAGTGACCCTGCCTGGGCTTTGGGAGTCTTCCTGGATCCTCCACTCTATCCTCTGAAAAAAAAAGAAGAGAGAGCATGTGGAGGATTGTGTAGAAGGTTTTTACGAGTTAAACCTGGAAGTAGTAGAAATCATTTCTGCCTATGTAGTCACATGACCCACCTAATTGCAAGGGAGGTGGGCAAATGTAGTTGAGCCACGTATCCAGGAAGAAAAACAAATGGTATATGTTTCTATCTTAGTCACCAAATCCTGATAGTTCAACCTTCCAAATATCTCGTACTACTTCCCTTTCGTACTACTTCCCTTTCAGTGTGCCATCATAATTCAAGTTCTCATTGTCTGTCTTTCACCTCCTAAGTAGCAAGAATTTCCTAATTGATCTTCTGCCTCCAGACTAATCTCCCTGTAGTCAACTCTCATCAGTACCAGAGGAATCTTTCTACAGTAAAAATATGAGTATTTCATGCCCCCCCCTTAAAACCTGTCATAGTTCCCTGTCCCCTTCTGAACTCCTTAGCCAGGCACACAGCACCCTTCTCCAGCTAGCCTTACTTCTGCCACTTTTATGAGCTCTTTGCTCCAGCTGTACCAAACATGTCACCGATCTACATCCGCAAATTGTGCTTTCACCCCTCTTTGCCTTTGTATGTACAATCTCTTCTTCCTGGAATTCCCATCCCCTTTTTGCCCACTTGTTAAATGCCAGGCATCCTTCAAGATTCACCTTCTCTGTACACATTTTCAGATGTCAAGTTCCTGATGTTGCTCTCTGTTTGCCCATAATATGTTCATTCTTACATTGCTCAGGATCCTGGCAGGAAGGGAATATTGATGAGAATTAAATGGAGAGAATCTATGAATGTTGGGAGCCTTAAGGGAAGTAAACAAGGGACAGTGGCAAGCTCTGGAGCTAGCAACAGTGGAAGCTCTTACCACTCTATGCTTCAAGGCGCAGTCAGAGAAAGCCAGAAGAAGAGAGCAAGGGAAGAGCTGGAGCTATGGCCTATGGTAAAGGGATGCAGCCAACTACCAAGCTGCAGCTGGCTGGGAGGGGACAAATGTTCTGACCTCTCTTTCCTCCCATTCCCTAATCCCCTGCTGCCATCTCCCATTTGGCTAAAAAGGACTGGAAGCTAGAGGCAAGGGAGCCCACTGATACTGATATTCAGCTCAGCTTCCCAGAGACAGAGCTTGGTGCAGAAGGGGGAAAGGAGATCCGAATGGGCAGCCAAAGACTTTCTAGCATAGCTCTTACATTTCTATTAGAGTACCTCACACAGTGTATGATATTTATGCTGTACAATTAATCCATGTAACCAAAAACCACTTATACCCTAAAAGCTTTTGAAATTGTTCTTTTTTTTGGAGTCTCATTTCACTGTCCAGGCTGGGATGCAGTGGCATGCTCACGGCCACTGCAGCCTCAACCTGCTGGGCTCAGGTGATCATTTCAGCCTTCCAAGTAGCTGGAGCTACAGGCTTGTGACCCCATGCCTGGCTAATTTTTTTATTTATTGTAGAGATGTCTTGCAAAGTTGCCCAGGCTGTTCTTGAACCCCTGGGCCTAGACAATCCTCTTGCCTCCACTTCGGCCTCCCAAAGTGCTGGGAGTACAGGTGTGAGCCACTGTTCCTGGCTTGAAAATGTTCTTTACAAAAAGAAAATTATGGCAGTCATAGGACACTTCAGGGAAGGGAAGGAGGGAGGGGGCATGTAACAACTCAAAGGGTACCTGATTCTAACCAGGAAAAGTGAGGAGGAACCAGGAGGCCCAAACTTCACCTGTATATATACATTACTTATGGACCTATTCCTGACTAGTACCCCATCTGTATAATAAAATAAAAATAAAATAAAACAAGTATGCTATACTTTCTAAGCGAAAAAAAGAAAATTACTTATTTACATATTTTTTCCCACTAAATTATGAGTTCCTTCAATGTGTCTTCTATTTTTCTGAATCTTTGATGACTAGCACAATCATTAAACACTGCTAAAAATAATGATCCTGTCATTGTCTGTTTGGGCTGCTATATGAGTAGCTTAAAAGCAAAAGAAATTTATTTCTCACAGTACTGGAGGCTGAAGAGTCTAAGACCAAGGTGCTAGCAGATTTGCTGTCTGGTGAGGGCCTGCTTTCTGGTTCATAGATGGCGCCTTCCCACTGTGTCCCCACATAGCAGAAGGGACAATGGATCTTTCTGGGACCTTTCTTATAAGGGCACTAATCTCATTCATGAGGACTACACCCTCATGACTACTCACCTCCCAAAGGCCTCACCTCCTAATGCCATCATCGCCTTGGGTGTGAGGATTTCAACATATGAATTCTGGGAAACACAAACAAACAGTCCATGACAAGGCCCTTTTGTAACATTTAAATGAAGTGATGAAATATTAAACTATACTATCACAGCCTTTTATTTTAAAGTGCTTAAATACCATTTCCTAGAGTCGTCTTGCCATGTGAAGAGTATGGTGAGCTTTGTTTCATATTCCTGACCTGCCTTTTCTCGTTTCTCAGTGAAACATCTAGAACTCGTGAAATTGTGATGCCTTCTAGGAACTACACCCCATATACAAGAGTCCTGGAGTTAACCATGAAGAAAACTCTGACCTAGGCACTTGGAGATATGCACTTTTTGCTGATGGACAGAGGCCTTGGAACCCTGTGGCTTGAAGTCTGGGAAGTGTGACTGTTATTTCCTCATGCATGCATCATGAGCCAGAATGGAAATTGCAGAGGTTCTGATCCCTTCTAAGACAGGAAGTGAAGTGAAGGCAGAGTGGGTAGATGACAGAGAGTGAGAGCTACAATGTTACATTTCAACCGCCCAATCAACATAACACTGCTGTATTGCATCGTCATTTGTATTCCATGTAGACACGGAAATCCTACCAGGAGAATTCCCTCACAATTTATTTTCTGTTGTACTAGACTTCAGTTGGGAGGGAAAAGGGCATTAATTTGAAATTTCATGTTCTCCCACGCCAGGATCATTTGATACAGCTTGAGAGTTTTGTTTACCCACAAAAGTATTAGAGGCAGCATTTCTCTGGTACAGAGAAGTCTGTCTGCAGGGAGCATGGGCACCTGGCAAAACTTGAACCTGGAGAAAAGGGTTCCTAGCCAAGAAGTGCTCTTTCCTTTTGGTCCTGAGGATCCGCGTAGGGTTGTGGGAGCCATGGTTGGAAATTCATGTGGTCCAGACAAGCTTCATTCTGATGCCCTTCTCCTTTGGTTTAATTTGTGCCTTATGCCTGTACTGGACCAGCTGAAATCACTGTATTCATTCAACTTGCGATTTGTTTTTTCTTTGTCACTTTAACTTAAAGAGGATTTTGTATGTCATGGAAACCGAATCATTTAATGTTTTCAGTATCAATTGTGTTTTTATTAAATGAATGAGTAATCATGCATGCTCTACTTTGATATTATAACCTATGTCACATATGTTTAATAAATACCATATATTTTGTTCTACGAATGTTGTCTCTGTGTTTTATCTATGACTGTACAGAGCAGATCAAGCTCTGGAATGAGTGTCAAAGTCAGATCCTGTGATCTTTCAATAGGAGCATTTATAAGCCATAATATTGCATGCGTGTGTGTCTTCCTTTTTAATTCCCAAGTTTATTTAATTAATTCACCTTCTTACTTACTAATTTTATTTGTTTAATTAATCATGATACATGATCACAGAAGACAAAAATAGATTTCATTTTAAAGCGTTGCCCAAATTCCCCACTCCTTACGCTCAACATTTCCCTCTCCCAACCCCCGCCCCAAAAAAACCAAAGCAACTCAGATAAATCACTGTGAATCAGGATAGAGTTAAGAGGAAGATGTGCATTTTGGAGCCAAATTTGGAGTTAAGTTTTGTCTGTGGGATGTTGAGCAAGTCATCAAAGCTTTCTGAATATTAGTTTCATCTTCTAAAAACCTGGGAGAGTCACACCTACTTGATAGGCTGATGTGAGCACCACATGATTTAGTTCCCACGGAAGAACTGGCACAGTGCTGGGCACACAGGCAGTGGCTGCTATCATTCTGGAGGTTTATTTTGGAACACTGCTGGCTTCTGGTTGGCTCTTACCAATTGGAGGTGTTCTAGCAGCACAAAACCATGCCTTGTAACAGTGATCAAGGAGGAACAGTTAGAGGAAAGGCTGTCTTCAGGTTCAAAAGACAGAGAAGCTAGACTCAGAGATGGGCAGAGGATCCTGGGAGCTTGTGTCCCTGGAGAAGCTGGTCTGGAAGCAATGACTTAAAGAATGTCAGTTTTAATGAGACCAAGGCAGAAATGAAACTGCTATGCAAACACGTCCACATCCCCCACCCTCCGCTTTCTCTCTGTTAAAACAAGCAAGAAAAAGAAAGAACTTAGAAATTTTAAATTTAAAGAACGCCAAGGATCATTCTATAGCTGGCCTTTGTATTTTTAAATGTCTTTAACAGATGGAAAATTCTAAACATGATTTGAACTATTCAGGAAGACTGTTATAGAGAGTTTCTAATTTATATAGACTGAACTTGAAAGAAACTGAGAGAGAATCCTTCTATATCCCTTGTCAAAATTAACTCTAGTGACCCCCCAACCCTCTATTTGAAAGAGTGACATTCATCTGCCTCTTCATGAGCAGGTATATTAGGTAAAATAAGGGGAATGAACTGTCACATTTCATGGCAAATTAATCTCACTGAAATAGAAAGCAGCAGTATATATAAGGATTTTTTAAAAAAATAAAAATAACATCCTATAACATTGCTTCCAATTAGTATTTTCACTCCAGATCTTACAAACTTTAAACATACATGCGCGTGCACACACACACAAACACACACAATCATCAGTTGTTTTGTTTTTAAAACAAACATAACCCTATACTGAGAAGCAATCATGGTTTTTGTTTTGTTTTTTTTTAGAAAGCAGGATTTATTGAGAGGACAGAAAAAGCTCCCACAGTGGGAGGGGACCCAAAGAGGTTGTCCAATTATGTGATTTTTTTTTTAAGAACACCAGAGTCCACCTGCCTAAGCTCAGTCACTAGTTTGCATGTGGGAAACTAGTCACACAAACCTGTCTGGGCCCCTGTAAAATGGGAGCCATGACAGTTCTTTCCTAATGGGGTTGGTGTGAGTAATGAGAACACCTGTGCAGTTCTTAGAATAGCGTTGGTACATAATAGGCACTTAATAGATGCTGCCTATTATCATTACATACTTTTATAGCCACTTTTAGCTTACTGTGTTATGATCATATACATATGCACTATATATAATCTATATCATTGTTTCTTATAGTTAATTAGATTCCATTTTATTAATGTATCATGATTTACTCAATCTATCCCCTGATGTTGAAATTGTGGAGGTTGTTTTTAATCTTTTGAAGCAATCCTCTGATGAACCATCATGTGCACATATCGTTGTATACTTGACTAATTGTTTTCTCAGGATAAATTCCTGGAAGAGGACTTGTCAGGTCAAAAGTTATGCATACTTTATTCTTTTGGTGCATGTTGTCTAATATGACCTATGGAAATTTATGTCCTCCAACTCTGACCCCTTTCGCATCACAAAGAATAAGAAATGGAGTGTATAAAGTTGCTTTCTGTAGGCAGACCTGCCCCCCCCCAAACAGGCAGTGAAAATGGTTCCTTCAGGATATTGCCTTTGGATACCAGAGCTCAGGGACACGCAGGTGTGAGCTGTGGGCCTGGAGGTGCCCCGGCCCAGAGAGCACCTGGGCAGCTGATAGGAAACAGGATGGGGCTCAGAAGGAGGAAGTCACCCCCGGGATCCAGGAATCTGAGGGGGCCTGCTGCTTAGTTAGCCAGAACCAAGAGCCAGTCGTGGAGACAAAAAACTCAGGTCACGTGCCTGAGATGAGGTTTGACTCCGGGAGGGGCAGGCCTCATATTTCAGGGAAAGCCTAGGAGGAACAACAGTTGGGAGGTGTTTGGAGGGTGTACCAACCCAGGCTGGCCCCTGAGTTGGTTCACTCTTCTACTCTGAGTACCCACCTTCTCCCCAGTGAATGCCATCTGCCTGTCTCAGGGACTTTAGGGTGATCACCAGGGTAAGGAGAGGAGAGTGACAGGAAGGTCAGGATGCCTGGCTCAGGACACATTGGGCCTGGTGCTCTTTTGGACACTCAGACTCAGAGGCCCAGTTCAGTTTAACCAGCACATGCTGGGTGTCAGGAAGACAAAGATATTCACTTCACGACCCTCATTCTTTCTCAAAATTTTCCCAGTGAGTCTAGCTTCTCCTGATCTTTTCTGTCTCTGAATCTCAGAGCACTTATTTTCAGTCCCTTCTTTATTCCTACATCTCATGACTGATCAGCGTGTCCATTTTTTATTTCCCCAGTAATATAACTCCTCAGGACAGTTTCCCTGTAAAAGACACACTAGTTATGTAGGGGGACTCCATTCCAAACCTGGATTAGCATGACAAAATCTACAAATGAAAAGTAGTCCGGAAAGAGTCTTGGCTAGGAGAAAGTAGAGGAGACCAGGAGTTACTGGACTGGACACAGCCTACATACACTGGGTTTTCACACCAGTCCTGCCTGGAAGATGTGGTTAACCACCACATCATGGATAAGGAAGCTGAAACTCAAAGAGATATGAAAACTGCCCGAAACCACCCAGACCCATCTGACTTCAGAACACAGGCAGGAGGGCTGAGTCAGTCCCCAGTCTGCCATGAACTCATAATACCCCCTTGGTCAGGGCCCTGCAGCACTCGGAGGCTCTGCGCTGCGGTATGCAGCTTTACTGCAAAGTGAATGGAATTATATCCCTCCCACATAGGCTTGCTGTGCAGATCATGTGATAGGATATAGGTAAATTCCCCAGCACTGCATCAGAGACATATCAATCGTTGACACCTGCTATTAATACTAATGATTACTGGGAAGGTGGTGTTGTACCAAGAATATCTGCAAAATCAAGGATTCTCTCTTACTGGACACATATTAGAGACTTCATGAATACCAGTGAGTGGGATTGTGCAGCAGAAAATGGCGGTGGAGGAAATGTGGCTGGGTAAATAGGAGATGAAATCAACCATATATCCTTTTACTTATATGTGAATTTGAGTATAACCCATTTGACTTTGTCAGGGAAGGAAAGGCTGCCTAAGAGGGGTTTGGGAAATAGAAGGGGATGGAAGAGGAGGACAAAGGACAATTTATAAGAGGTCACAAGGAAACTTTCAGGAGTATGAACATGTCTGTTATACTGATTATGGTGATGATATTAGGGGTGTATACATATGTCAAAACTGATCAAATTGTACACTTTATATATGTGCAGTTTATTGTATTCTGATAACCCCTAAATAAAGTTGTCAAACACCACCAATATAAAAATAAATTCCTAAAGATCATCAGATACTTAAAGAAACCTCCAATAAGAAATACAAAGACTAAAACAAACAAATAAACAAACAAAAGTGTGGGAGCTTAAAGAAAATGAAGACCACAAAGGGACAAAAATGTTAAAAAGAAACTAGAGAAAACTGTAAATAGTATCCTCAGAGATAAGGATGGACATAAGAAGTCAGATAAGAAGACTGAAGATGAGTTTCTAAAAAGACCAAAGGGATACTGCCACTAAAGTCTGGGGTGATTTGTTAGTTAGGATTAGATAACTAATATGTATATGAAGTATATAGTTTTTTGTGTGAGTTTTTTGTTTTTTTAGTGTTTTTTGCATGTAGATATCCAATTGTTTTAGCACCAGTTGTTGAAAAGACTACCACTTTCCACTGATTTGCCCTTGCCCTATTGTTGAAAATCAATTGGCCATATATGTGTGAATATATTTCTGTACTCTATACTGTTATATTGATCTACTTGCCTATCTTGACACCAATACCACATTGTCTTGATTGCTGTGGCTTTATCATAGGCCATGAAGCCTATATTACTCTCCAGTTTTGTTTTTCTTTCTCAACATTGTTGTGGCTATTCTAGGTTCTTTGAATTTCTGTATGAATTTTGCAGTCTGTCAGTTTCTACAAAGGGGCTGTTGGAATTTTGCTTGGGATTGCATTGAATAGACAGAAGACTAAGGATAACATCAAGACCTCGCTGTGTCAGGTCAGCTTGTAGAAACACTGCAGCCTAAGCTGGGAGTGCTAGGTCAGCTCATGGATGTCAGGGGCTGCTTTTCTCAGTTAGAAAGGTACTGGCAGTAACTTCCACAACATATTTTGATAAAGGTTTAGTATAATCTTTGTGGAATTCTGAACAAAATATTATAAGAAACATCATTTGTGCCCAAGGGCTGTAAAACTGATGTAATTTGAATGCAGTAAAATATAAATAAATAGCAAACAGTTCTTGGGGGGTTTTCTCTTAATTTTTCAGGTTTTAACATAGAGCGTTTACAGGATTCACCTTCCTGAATTAGGGGCGGGAGGGGGGCTGAGAAATAATTAGTAGGCAATTTTTTGGCCCTGGGACTTTTC